TTTTTTTTCATTGAATTTTGAAAAAAAAATATATAGACCTACCTACCGACCCTTTTTTTTTTTTTTTTTGCTGTTACTGCAAACCAAAATATTTTTAAGGATGGCCTGAGGCAAAACGTAGCACAAAAGCGAGGTTTGGTAATGTGTTTCTTCAACTATGGGCACTTTTGGCCCTGTAGATACACAAAATTTGTCCAATAAAGTCCAACAGTTTTCTTCACACATCACATGTCTCTTCAACTCAAGCATGCTCTTCACTGACACAGTTATGTCCTTAATAAACATGAACACAAACTTTTCACAAACGCAAAACGGTTAATTTTGACAAATTATGGAACTGAGAGAGAGTTGTCACAATAATGAAGGCATGGGAAAAAGTTCCCAAGATCTTTATAAAGTGACTGTAATAATAACAAAGAACATCTTAACATTAAAGCTTGAAAAGTTCTAGAACTTTAATAAAGCTGCAATGTTTCAGACTCAGCATAAAATTGCTCGCAAAGTTGAAATACCACAGACCAAATGAGATTGTGTCATAAACAACTATCTCCTCCGTAAGCCTCCCAATAACTCACAGACCAACAAAGCGTACAAAATGAAAGCAATCTTCTATTCCTCCCATCGCTTTGAACTCATTGCTATTGCCATAAAGTTGCAGTGACAACGAAAGTCAGACTTTTATAACAAGGATTGGTTGGGTTGGTAAAAGGATGTGATATTTTCATATTCATGATGAAATGCTTTAATTCATTGGCTTGTTCAGCCACCTTTTCTTTGTTTGGAAAGAGCAAATTTGTCTGATTAGCCTTTTAGGTGCCCTGAAATGATAAAGCATCATACTAATAACACAATAACACCAATAAATCTAGATAAAAGTAATAAATAAATAAAATAAAATGGAGCAAACCAAGTAAAAAATAAAATTTAAAAAATGGTTAATTAAAATGAACAGGCTAAAGCTCCGGTCCAAACGCTTTCCAAACTTGACCAAAGTATTCTTGCAATATATTATTGAAAAACTGAATGATATTTTAGCCCGTGTGTCAGATCTGCACGAGGGGCCCAGAGCTGTGGCTCTCAGGGACGCCACGGGTCAGTAACATCTGAGCGATACGTTCAAAAATAGATCTTCACACCACCTCATTCCAGCGGACCTCAAAGTCATTCACACAGCAGTGCCACGGTGTGGGTGTGTGTGTGTGTGTGTGTGTGTGTGTCGAGCGAGAGAGAAAAACACACCCACGCCCAATTCCCTTTAGCTAAGACACATCAAAAAGGACCTGAATGAAACCATCACCAGTGTTTAAAAGTGTCAAATCTCCCCCAGGACAAGATTAGATTAAAAAAGTTAATGTCTTTAGATATTATTTCACATAAAATGAAATGGATTATAATAAAATAGAATAAAAATAAATGAAACGGTAGAAACTCAAAATGGGTGCAGCAGTTGCTAGGGCGTGACGGTGGCAGTTTTTGTTTGGGGGGTTGTTTAAAAAATAAATAAAAATAAATTCAAATTCAAACTTTTATTGCACATGCACAGGAAAGTCATCACACAGTACAATGACATTCTTAAGGTGATGATACACAGGGCAACTTTTTGAGCAATGTTGCCGTCAACGGGCAACCAGATGAGACACAGGGCCCACGACCGATCTAAATAATCCAGATAGAAATGTATTCCCCATTTTCAATGTTGTTGTCCCAAACAACAATCGCTCGGCAAGATTGCCCAGCAACATTGCTCAAAAAGTTGCCCTGTGCATCATCACCTTTATTCTGCGAATCCTCGCAGCAACATCGGACATCAATTCAACACCCCACAACATAAATGACAAAGAGACATAAATAACTTAAATAAACTTAAAAGACTCGGGGACATTTAGAAACATCCCAATCCAGGAATTAGGTGAATAACATGAGAAAATCATCATCAATATAAATTATGGATATGAAACATATTTCGTCACATTATAATTCCTACTAAATGACCGCAATGAAATCTTGTGACAATGGCAAACATAAATTTGTAATGAGCTGGAAATTATATAACCACAACATAACCATCCATAAATTCAAAAACATACAGAAGTGTTCCAATTTTATCATAAACATCCCTAAAATTTGTTAAAGTACCCCTGTAGTCAATAATTATATCCATTAAAACTCATCTTTGATCACCAAAATGACATATTTTTGCCTTTGAATAGCTTGAATGTAACAGTCTTGCCTCATTTAGTTCGGTTCTAATTAATATGCAAATGAGCCCCGCCTCCACTCACTCACTCAGCTCAGAGATTCACTCGTTGATCTGATTGGTTACAAGGTCGTTTGTGACGTCAGAAACACCAGCGATTTCAAACCGTGTTTTTGAGACTGTCTTTGATTCACTGCAGTTTTAAGGAGAAAATACGCCGCAAATGTTTTGACTTATGAATTTACACATGGTTTGTCTTAAAGCACCGCATAGACATATAAACAAGATTAAAAGCTTGATTTTCACCACAGGGGGACTTTAAGTCATCACTGTAAACACAATAAAAGAGAACAAACAGCTTGGTTTCAACTCAGATCTCATGAAGTCAATGACAGGAGACACACAAACACTTAGTGTTTCCCTGAGACCAAAAGCTCTGGGTCAGAGGAAAGGGTGTAGGAAACCAAGCCACAAAAGTGGGAAGTTCAACCTCAGAATATAAGGAAACTATAGAGTGTACAGTACAGTCATGTGACGTAAACTACTTCCTCATACCTAAATAACAAAGAGAACAATGTGTGACTGTGAAATAAGACCTGCCAACACCTGTGATATAAAAGCTAGCGTTCTTAGATCGGCTTTAATGCGATCAGGGTTCACTCACATGAGTAATTAAACTAACTCTAGTTACTCCATTGCAATTTACTCGTAGTTGCTCTAAGTCCAATATTTTTAAGGATGGCCCCAAGTACACCATGCTCTGCTCAAAGTCATAATAGTGGCGGAGCAGGACCGGGATTGCAGGAAATCTCCACGGACAACATTACTTGGAAATTAACCAGCAACCTTTGTGCTAGCGGATCAGATACCTAAACATTACAGGCTATTACCACAAATATCCTGGGATAACTGCACCTAGACCCTTTAAAATGCACACAAAACTGTCTTTTCTGAGAATAGGTTTAAGTAATAAACACTAAGATACCAAATTATCCACAATGCTTTTGCTTTAAATTAGTAAACACTACTAATGATCTTTCAAACGATGTCAGGCCTTTAACGTACATGTAACAACGTTAAAGTCGTTCAACTTGGTTAATGCATTACGTATCATGGACTAACAGCAAACAATTTTTACAGAATTTAATAATAAAGGGTAACAAATGAATAGGCAACTATTGTTAATTCATGTTGGTTCATAATACATAAACAACCTGAAATGTTACAAATGTGTCAGTATGTGTAGAAGAAATTAGCATTAACCAAGATTAATACTATAAAAGTGTTGTTCATGTAAGCATATATTATTGTTTTTGTAATTTTTTTGCAATAGGCCTATACTTTATATTGCAAAAATGTACAAAAACAATAATATATGCTAACATGAACAACACTTTAGGTTCAGATTTTATGCAGCCAAGCCTATATTCATATTTGAATGCAAATCAATATACATGTTCACCATTAGGCTGGCTATATGTCTGTAATTAATCAATGATACTAATTAGTTAAAGCTCAAGTCAAGTGTCTTTGACAGACTTCTAAAGATGACTACGACATCAAAACTAGGCTAAACGAAGCACACTGACATATATTTTTTAAATATGCTGAGCTTTCCAACTTCCTATAATGTGACAACTAGCCTAAGTAAACAAAGAGCAGCTGTCAGTCAAAACATTGATACAAAGATACATTGTGTCTCGACGGCTTTGTTGTTTTAATTGTCGAGTTTTTCCCCAGACACACACAACACCTTGACCAGTGCGATACGCAAAGGAGATTCCCTGCAGGGTAAACAGAGACACACCTCAAATACCTTTGGCCTAGAAAGCAAAGAATAAGGCTGTTATATTTTTGCTGGCTCAAAAACATCAGACACATTGCAGCCAATCAAACCGAACAATGCAAGGTACCCTGGGTCATTGTGTTTTACAAGAGATGAACAGGTAACTCCGTCTACAAGATGCTGAGATCTCAGAATGAGCTTTACACAGCGTCTACACACGTCTGGAGGAGTTCGAGAGGTTTCTCCATATCTGGGAGACAGATGCCCGAGGCTCAGAGACGGATCGCAAAAGCTTTCTGCAGTTGTTATGGAGCCGGTGAATGACCCTGGAGGACTTACGGATCAAATGTCACATGGATCACAGAGTCTTTCAGGAAAAAGCCACCATTCTCGGAGCATGACAGGTAACCGAAGCCATGTTCAAAGCCTTGGCTTCAACTCAGCAAAGACGGAGCACAATTGCGCAAACCTTTTAAACAAGCCGCAGGAGATGAACTCTGGATTTGAGATGCGACTTAATATTTGAGGGTTCAAAATAACCAAATAGCCCAATAACTGCACTGTCCAAATATGATTATCTGTGTATCCGATTGGAATCTAGCCTAATCTCAAAGATCTGTGTATCGCAGGTGTTTTGGTCTGATGTGTGTGTGTGCAACGTGGCGCTCTTTCATTTTTCTGAAAATCTTTGTAGGTTTCTATGACAATGATGTTGCGTTGGAAGGCCTACAACACGAAGGGGTTTGCAACTTCCTTACAATATGATAAATTAGAAATGTTGGCAGGCACAGCTTTATTAGGTGTGTGGAAATGGTCGACTTGCAGTGGCTGGTGAAGACAGGCTGAAACGGATTATTTTTGAGTAGGATTTCAAACCATATATGGCTTGAAATGGATTTGTCAGATTCCATGTGATTTTTTGTGTCACACTTGCTAAATACGTTCAGATTCCAATCGGATATGCACAAAAATCAGACTTGGATTGACAGTCTGAACGAGGTTTAAAGATCCACCTACCGTGTCTCCAAGGGTCCTTCGGCTCAACGGCACCAGAGACGATGTCCTCGTCTGATGGAAAGGTCACTCTCTTTGACCCTTGCTTAATCCCAACTCCCTCGTCCGGTGTTGTAGCCGAGACGGGCACGTCGTCGTCCCTACGTTCCTGCGAATGCAGTTCTATGACGGATATTTGAGAGTTGACACTAGAGGCACTTTCCTCGCGTTGGGTCTGGGCTGCTGGTTCGACCTCTAAAACCCCATTTTCATCGAGACTTAAATCGACTCCAATATCCATCTCTCCATCATCTGCTTCATCACCACCATCTCCAACAGAACAGTTGATCACTGGCGGTTCCTCAAACTTGCTTAAACTCTGTTGCAGGTCACCGGCAGAACCATTAAAGGGGTCGGCGGATACTGCAATGGATCCATTGTTTTTACTATGCGGTGCTTTGAGCTCTGTGGAACCATCATCCTTTAAATGGATGTCTTTTAACCTGGCCAGGACGGCAGCGTCCCCTTGGTCTCCATCCAACGTGTCACGGGGAAGGATCTCTGGTGATATAGTGTTGTCAGGCACATTGCACAAATCTATAGCATTGCACAGATCTACAGCTTGATCCTCGCAATTCATCTTCTCATTTCCAGGGAGCTGGAGCACGCCACTGCCTGTCGAACACTAAAAACGAAGAAGTTCCCTCAAACACCTACAATGCAGTTCAATTCCAGGGAGAAACCGTTCAAGATCTCCTTAGTGAGTGCATCACTAACTAAAAGTTCACATCATAGAAGCGCCTGTTTTTATACTTGTCTTAGTTATGCACCTAAATGCAGTCATACATCACCGTAGTCTTGATTTTTAATGGTTACATAAGGCAAATATGTCTAATTATGTGCTCCAATCAAAGTTGTAAACACCTACAACATCTTTCACATTCAAATTGAATCAGTTTTAGCCGCATTAAAAGTCTCCAATGCACTTCATGTTAACATTATAAGCAACCATTGTATTTTTAATGTCCCTGTGCACCATTAATACTGTTAATTTCCTCTCGTCGCGTTGAAGAATAAGTTAAGCACTGATAACTTAGATGCATTTACAGCAAGTATAAACAAGCCGTGGGATGATGAAGATTATGCTGATGAAGACCAGGCTTTCTCGACTGGCCTGCTGTCCTACACCAAGACGAATAAAGTACTAAAACGGACTCCTTAGGCCAATCATCTAAATGTTTAACGCTCCAGTCGTGTTTTTAAGCTGTCAAGACGAGGAATCCTGCACTGTCACTTTCCGTGTCGCAGTGAACACGAATAAACACAGGCGTCACAGTCCGGAGCGCGCGCTCATCCCCAAAAACCGCCACGAACGGACTCGTTTTCTCTGTTTAAACACTCTATTCCGGCCGCTTTGTATGAACGATGCTTTTCACATCGCCAAACCGCACAGACAAGCAGAAAAAGAGAAAAATATTGGCCCCGTTGAAGCTCCAGTCCGGACCGACTGTGTATGTGTGTCTGTTGACTGTTCGGAGATACGTCATCATCACCCCGGTTGGAAACGCAAGGGAGATTTCAGCAGCCGCACTTTCGGCGCTTCAACTTCGGCGTTTTTTATTTATTAAGGAAATGCCAGTAAAATTGCAGAGTTGCTCATGTGTTGTGTTTCGTTGACAGATTTTCGTTCGCAGCAATTGCGTTTGTAATTTATCTAGATTAGCATTTATTATAAAACACTATAAAAATCTCAACGAATCAGTTGATATCTGATCCAAACAGCTGTCACGTTGGATGGTTTACGACGCGTGTTACAGAGAAAAATGTATAACATCTAAACGTAAATATATATATAAATTTAGTAGGCTACATAGGAAAATTAAACTTGGCAAAATAAGTATTTCATATATTAAATGACGTCGAGACTATGTTAGTCTTTTGAGAAAAAAAAAAAAAACTCAGAAATTGAACGATTTTCTATGGCAATATTATCGGTGTTATATATAGTCCTTGTCTGGAAAACATATTTTATATTATATTTATGTTATATTATATTTATATTAATATATATATATATATATATATATATATATATATATATATATATATATATATATATATATATATATATATATATATATACTTGATCAATTCTGATGACTCATTCTGCACTACACTGATTTTCGTCCAATCACATGCTTGCTACAGTAAGTTTGCCCCTCCCCTAACACCACCTGCAACCATCGCAAGTGAGCACGGCTGCACGTTTAGCTAAATGTTGATAACTTTTGCAGGATTACTCTGCATGGTATTTTCTGCTAAAAAGTTGTTTCTTAGGTGACATTATGAAGTTTCTGTTGAAAATGTGAACAAAGTGAGTAACAAAGTGAGTAACTCACTTGAACTGTGAGAGATGTTATTCTCTGTGTTTGTGTTATTGCTCTGCTATATGTATGATGTTAAGCAATTGCCCCTGCTAGTGATGCTAGTACCATAGTAGATGAACAAATGGCAGCACACAACACATTTTCATAAACCTTGATATTTAGCCAGTGGCGTCATGCCCATTCAAAGTGAGGGGGCACGTGCCCCCTCAGATTTTTCCTCCCTGATAATTTTTTATTTCTTTAGTCTTGTTATAATCAGATTCAGCACGTTGTTCGTCTTCAATCCGCAGCGGCGCCGAGCAGAGCGCACGTCAGAAACAGGACAGGGTGTGTGTGTGTGTGTGTGTGTGAGTTCATCTGAGCCGCATTGGTCTGTCACTCACTGCTCGTCAATGTCAGAAAATTTGAGATGACCAATGAAATCAAAGTAGGCGGGCTTTATGTTCACAGAAGCTGAGCGCGAATTTTAGCAGTGAGACTCACTCGACGCTTCAGTGTACAGTCAAGTGCGAGATGTAAGTAGCTAAACTAAACATTTCATATTTGACAGTTTTTTTTAGTTCATAAATGTTAAACGAATGACAAAAATAATCAGGCACACGCATATAGGCCTACTTTTGTCTAATTTCGCCATTTTGAACTGAAAATAGGCCTATAACGTGACTCGTAATGTAGGCTAATAATTAGTTTACTGTCATTGTGAGGGGAAAAGCCGTTTTCATTGTTAGGCACAAGATTAATAATGAATGTGTAGGCTACATATTGAGAATTAATATAGTACAATTTGTAGCCTTAAGTAAATTAAAAAAGCTCAGCTTTAGGAGGGGAAGACAAGATCAGGAGACTGAGAGAAAAAGAAAGAGTGATGAATAAGAGGTGAGAGCAGGTATTGAAAAATAATCTACTGTCCGCTGACATGGTTTTAAGGCTATTTCTTATCCTTTTTTTTGGCCTTCAAACGTCTTGAAATGCACATATCAGAGAAATAAAAAATTTGAACCCCCTACCCACCTCAAATTTAGGACCTCTTTGATTATAAAGCCCTGTCTACGGCCCTGTATTAGGTATAAGATCAATAATGAATGTGTACTGTGAATGAATTTAATAAACTTAGTTAGGCTACCTAGCTTTCCTAGTAGCTTTCAGTAAATGAACTCGTCTGAGAAAATGATTCATAAATCAACCTATCAGTTGACCCTATGTTTACTTTCTTCACTGACAGACAAAAATGAAAAGCCTATCAGTCAAAGCTCAACTTTAGGAGGGTAAGAGACAGGGCAAGAGAAAAACAAAGAGAAAAAGTGTGATGGAGATGAGAGAAAAATAATCAGCTGCGTGACATGGTTTTAAAGCTGTTTGTATCCAGTTTTTTTGGCCTTCAAAACATCTTATAATGCACATATAAGATACACATATACTTTAACTTAGTCCTCAGATAGAGGAGGGTTGCTGCTAGCTCCGTTAAGGTATTTCTGTCCCTCCCAAACTGCATTGAAATATTATGTTTCGCAGCCAGAATTAAAAAAATTTCAGGGGGAGAAACCCCCTGACCCCTCCTAACATGATCCATATCACCCGTCAGAAAACAATTGCAACGTCTCAGATTGTGCCCCCCCAGAATTTTGGCTTGCATGACGCCCCTGTATTTAGCTATAAGATTTTCATGGTATTGCATGCTACATGTCCAAACATCATGATTCTAGTAGGCTACACGTCCAAGGTCTGCTAATTCTCATATCATTTTAGTTTTCAGGAGGAGTTTATGAAATATGAATCCTTTCTCTCGTCAGGTGATGAAAATATTTTCTCTTGTCTTTTTTTTTTTTTTTTTTTTTTTTTTTACTGTACATTGTTTTTAAATCTTTACAATACATGGAGTTTGTGTTCACTGTATTATGTATTCCCTCAGATCACCCATCTCACCACTAGAGGTCATCGACACCTCAATTCTAATTTGGATCCTGATCGAATTCTGATCTCTACAAAATAACAATACTGATGTTAAATAAACAGAATTCCAAAGTAGAAATAAGTTAATACTAAATGAGCTAATAGCTAAATGTATGTTTGTATAAATGTGTAAGTACAGGTCAAAAGTTTGGAAACTAATATTTTTAATGTCTTTGAAAAAAGTCTCTTATGCTCATCAAACCTGCATTTATTTGCTCAAAAACACAGAAAAAAAGCAATATTGTGAAATATTATAACAATTTAAAATAATCGTTTTCTATGTATTAGCCTATATACTTTAAAATGTTATTTATTCCTGTGATGCAAAGCTGAATTTCCAGCATCATTACTCCAGTCTTCAGTGTCACATGATCCTTCAGAAATCACTCTAATATGAGGATCTGATGCTCAAGAAACATTTATGATTATTAATCAATGTTGAAAACAGTTAATATTTTTGTAGAAATATTTCAGGATTCTGTGAAGCATAGAAAGTAAAAAAAAAAACAGCATTCTTTTAAAATAGACATTTTTTTGTAACATTACAAATGTCTTTACTCTAAATTTTGATCAATTTAATGCATCCTTGCTGAATAAAAGTGTTAATTTATTGTAAAAAATAAAAAAAATAAAAAAAAATCAGCATATTATAATGATTTCTGAAGGTTCATGTGACACTGAAGACTGGAGTAATAGTAAAACGAGGCCTTCATTCATATGTTAAACACACACACACACACACACACACACACACACACACACACACACACACACAAGTACAACCACACATACATACACACACACACACATACATATAGGCCAATACACACAGTGTTTATATACACACAGTAGGCTATAGTGTATACACTATATATATTTCTATACCGTATATTATATATATATATATATATATATATATACAAACACACACACACACACACACAAGCACATGTGCATATGTTAATTTAATTACATTTAATCCGAATGCACAAAATCACAAATCATAGCCTACTAGTTTGTTGTACAATTACTGCATAATGATAGTGAGTGTAATTATTAAAAGGCAGTTGCTTGGCTGTAGTCATACAAGTCACTTGTACCTTTCTAGGCCCTTGGTGGCTTGTTCCCAATCCCACACTCTAAACAATGCTGGGTTGTTTGAACCCAAATTTGGGTAAAATACGGACAAACCCAAATGTTGGGTTAAAAATGTAATTTCAAATTTTAACCCAACTTCAACTTTCACTTAACTGTACATTTTTTAATTGCATTTTTAACCCAACATTTGGGTTTGTCCATATTTGACCCAAATGTATACCTAAATTTATCTAGGCCCTTTGGTGGCTTGTTCCCAATCCCACTCCGAGTCGAAATATCAACACCCAAAACTTTTGGCATTCTTGCATTTCTCCATTACAATCCTGAAACTACTAACCAAAGCACTCAGTTCTGTATGAAATGGCTCTAATTATGCAGGCCTGTCTAATGTATGATTT